TATATTTAGTGTTTGCTTATGTGCTAGATTTCAATCATACCCTAAGGAATCACATTTACTAGCTATTAAGAGAATCTTTAGATACCTTAAGGACACTCCTAGTTTAGGACTTTGGTATCCTAGAGACTCTAGCTTTAGCTTGCATTCCTTCTCTGATACGGATTATGGAGGATGCAAATTAGATAGGAAAAACACCTCCGATACTTGCCAATTCCTTGGAAATATGTTGATTTCTTGGTTTTCAAAGAAACAAAATTGTGTTGCATTATCTACCACTGAAGCGGAATACATTTCAGCCGGTAGTTGTTGTGCACAAGTTTTATGGATGAAACAATAACTTTTTGATTATGGAATTGAAGTATGTATCATTCCTATCAAATGTGACAATACTAGTGATATTTGTCTCACTAAAAATCCCATCAAACACTCCAGAACTAAGCATATTGAAATTAGACATCACTTCATTAGAGACCATATCGCTAAGGAAGATGTAGTTCTAGAATTTGTTGATACTTTGCATCAATTAGCGGATATATTTACAAAGCCTTTAGACAAGGAAAGATTTTGGACACTTAGAAGAGAATTAGGTTTAACTGACCTATCTTCACTTAGTGTTTAAAATAATTTTTAACACTTTTAAGAACAAATGAAAAATGCTTATAATAAATTTTGATTGTATTATTTGCTATTAGTTAGGGGGAGTTTATGATTCTTTGTGAAAAATTGATTATATGTTCAAATAATTTTTAATGAGAGATTTGATTGATTGAACATAGTTAATTTTTCGTAATATGAGTTGCCAATACCACTAGAGCAAATTAATTTAGCATTTTGAGTGTTTAAAATCAAATTTTAGCATTTTTAGTGCAGAGGGAATCGATACCCCCTGAAGGGGAACCGATTCCCCCTTTGAAGGGGAACTGATTCCCCCTGTATGGGAATCGATACCCTCTGAGGGTTCTGGTTATATCACGGCCAAAAAACCCTCTCTCTCAGAACCTCTCTTCTTTCTCTTTGCCGCCATTCACTCTTTCCATCTTCCTAAATCTCCACATTGCTTCAAAACACCGTTTTTAATCGGAATTACTTCAAATATCATCTCCTAAACTTGTTGGAATCATCAAACTAGTGCAAAAATCATCACATTCTCACAAAATCCGAAAATCTTCAAGGTATTTTTCTAAAACTTCTATTTTATCAATTTTTGAACATAGAACTAGTTTTAATTAGTTATAGATTGAAATAGTGATCGACCATTGATTGTTTAGTGTTTAGAAACTAGATTTTACAACTAATTTCATCAAAATCTAATAATTTTTCAATTAATTCTTGAATTTTTGAAATTAAAAAAAATGAAAAATTTTAATTAATTTCAAATTGGTGTGTTTTGATTTAATTATGTTAGTATGAAAACTATATGTATATTGATTTTCAAAACTTTATTTTTCAATAGTTTTAAAAAACTTTGCCCATTAGGATTGGTTTAGAGAACCTTGAGATATTGAAGACTCAATTGAGTTTTGGGATTGATTTTATTGCATACATGTGTTTTAAAATTGCAGGTTATTCTTTCCATTCTGATTACCTTAAATCATGTCTCACAAACGTTCTAGACTTTCCTCTAGTCGTTCTAGCCAACCTCCAAACTCACCTCTAAATCCTCCACCTATCCAACAAATTCCTAATCCTAATCCCGATGATCCAAACATGACCATTCATAATTCTTGCTTTAATGAACCCGGTCATAGACAAAATATCTTCTTTAGGTTTTGTCAATACTTTGAGTCTTACAAAATCCGGGAAGAACGAATCTCATATCTTCAAGCCATGTTAGACATCAATTTTCAACATCTTCCTACTCTTCAAGAGTGGAAATTTGATAAACTCTTCGAGCTTGAACCTATAGTCTACCACCAACTCGTTCGTATCTTATACTTTAATGTCGTTTGCATTCAAAACCGGGAGAAAACCTTAACCATAGGAATTCGATCCTATCTTCTAGGACGATTCTTTCATCTTGACCCGGAATACATTACCAAAGCATTAGGATTAGATAATGAAGGGTTAGACAATGAAAAACTTACGGTAGGATCTCAGTATAAACGAAGGGATAGTGCGAGTGTTCTAGATCTTCATGACTGTTTTCTTCATCTCATGATCTCTTGGTGGTTTCGACCATCCGGAGGCCGTTACTCTACTCTCTGAGCCATTGATTTATTTTGGCTACATTGTGTCCAAAATAATCTTAAAATCAACTTTCCACAGATTATATTTGTTGAACTTGTCGAAACCGTAAATCTTGTTCCCAATAAGAAATTATGTTCATCTTTAGTTTACGGTTGTATTCTAAGTAATCTGTTAAAAAAGTCGGGCTTAGGGTTGTTCTTGATGCTTCCTTCCCTCTCAAAAACCAAATCAACCTCTTCTCTTTAACTAAATCGGGATGGAAGTTCAATGAAGAGACTGGTCTTTTGGTTCGTACTCATGAACAACCTCCGGAAGCCGACGACTCCGACGATGAGCAAGAACAGCACAAGGAACAAGCACAACCAGAGGATCAAATGCCTCCATACTTTCAATCCTTTATGGAGACATTCGATTTCTAGTATGCATCCATGGATTCTCACTTTACTTCCATAGAGTCTCATTTATCCACAATGAGAGCTCAATAATTAGAGATTCTCTGGGAGATGCGCGCGAACAACGCTTTTATGAATGAACACATTGATGCTCTCTCACATGAGATGACCGCTATGCGAGCTCATTTTCCTCCTCCCGACCCTCCTACGGATGCTTGATTCTTTGTCATGCTTTAGTACTTTGAAATAGAACTTAGAGATTATTGTTTGAATGACTTTGGATTGTTTTTTTTTACTTGGTTGTTGGATATTTGAACTTATTTGATGGTTTATGGATGTTTGAACTTATATTTCTATATATTTGGTTTGGTTAAATTTATTCATTATTGCATCATTTACATCATATATGACCAATTTTGCCATGTCACATTGTTTATGAATATTGATTATGAAACTAATAGCTAACGTTTCCCTTAATTGTGATCTTAGAAGCTTACGCTATATTTATTTATAATCAATTGGCTAAATGTTTTATAAAATCTTGTTTAAAATCTTTTAAAGGTCTTTTTGATTTAACAAAAAGGGAGAGAAATGTTAAAGTATTTTTAAAGGGGAGAAGTGTTAGAGTAAGAGGGAGTAATTTCAAAACTTAATTTCAAAATCTTAAAATTACTAAAATGTTTTGTTAAATCAATAAGAGGGAGTAATTTCAAAACTTAATTTCAAAATCTTAAAATTACTAAAATGTTTTGTTAAATCAAAAAGGGGGAGATTGTTGAAAACATTTTGATATTTCGATATAACAAATTAAGATAAATGAATTTTAAGATTCTCCAAAAGATTTTCTAAGTATATTCGATATAATTATTCGAATATCAAAATATTACTCCAAATATTTCAAATGTCATTTTTAATCCTTACTCAAGTGTAAAATTAAGTTTTAATCTTAAAATAATTTCAAAACAATTTTACAAAGTATTTCGAACCGTTTCAAAGCCAAAAATTCCAGATTGTCCAGAGGGAACTGATTCCCCCAAGGGGGTACCGATTCCCCCCTTAATGGTTTGGCTCCGAGAAAAACAGAATGCTCGGAGGGAACCGATTCCCCCTAAGGGGGTATCGATTCCCCCCTGATCAACGGTCAAAATATTTGAATTTTACACTTAGGGAATCGATTCCCTATGAGGGGGTACCGATTCCCTATGAGGGGGTACCGATTCCCCCCACACTCCAAACTGTTTTATTAATTGATTTCACACTAAAACGGCTCCATTAACTCCACTAATCATCCCCAACGTTCAGAATCAATTGAATGAGTATTTAAACAAGCTTAGAAGCCATTGATCAAAAACAAGAAACACAATCAACAAGAATCAAGAGAGAATCAAAGAGAAATCATCAAACCTCAAGTTTGAGCATTTTCAAGCCTATTTCATTCAATATTCATTTTTGCTTTCAAGAACACTTATTGTGCTCAATTGTATTATTCTTGAGTGTTTTTTCTTTGTTCTAGAATTGTGCAAACATCTTGCATTGTGAGGATTTTCTTGTACGTTTGCAAAATTTGTATTGTTCGCTTTGGGAGAGAGTGTTCTAAAGAATTTGGAGTATAATTCTTGAGGGATTTGTAAGGTTACTCTTTGTCCTCAAAAGAAAGACAAATTAGTGAATTTGTGGAAAATCCTTAGTGTGGATAGCTAAGGTAGTGGACGTAGACTTTGGTTGAGAAAGTCGAACCACTCTAAATCGCTGTGCAATTACTTTCAATTTTTTGCAAAACTTCCACCAAAATTTTTATTTGTCTATTCACCCCCTCTTGGCCAATTCCATCGATCGATTAACTCAACAGTTATGTATCATATTACATATAAATGTCAAAGTTAGGTACCAAAATTTATTTTTACCCTTCCAAAAGCTAGGTAATAAATACAGGCGGCTAAAATTATAAAAAAAAAGTTTAAATAAAACCTAAAATCTATTGATATCTATTAAAATTGAATTGAGAAATTGAGGTGTAAATAATACATTTTTTTAATTATTTAAGAAAATGATATTTAAAAAAATTATTTAGAAAGGTAATATAAATTCCGGTAGGTACCTAACTTTGATATTTATGTCATTTGGCATTTAATTTTGGTACTTAATTTTTTTAATCTAATTTTTAGAAGGGTAAATATAAAATTGTGTAAATAATACATTTTTTTCATTTAACTTTGGTATTTATATTTCTACTGTTTTCCACGTCAAACACATTTTGATTATTTTTTATATATTTTTAATTGTTTCGAACGATCTCAAATGATTAAAATATGGTTTGAACTCGAAATAATATAATCCGAAATAGGTCAGAGACATGGATTCCCCTCTAATCAAGTTGTTCTAAAACCAACCCTACTCACCTCATAGAAAGGAATAATTCTAATGACTTTGAAAATTCATCTTCTTCCCTTCAACACGCGAGCGAATGATTAGTTTCAATGAAAATTTCAGTAAGTCCATTCATCTTTTTCCTTTGAACACGTAATTTAATTCAAGATTCCACCAAGCTACACGCAAATTCAAAACTTTTTATATTCATCTTCCCCTACCAATAATATTCAAACTCCATAGAGCTTCAATTTGCGCGTTAATGGCTAAAAATGCCAAAAACAAGCCGACGACAACCCTACAGGAGAGAGTATAAAACCCTCGGTTGCTCTGTTCCCAAGGACACACAAACAGAACCAAAGACTAAAAGAAAATGTTGAATTCACTTTGCTTCATCTTTGTCATCCTCTTTGTCTTCTCCCCTTTTGCAACCTCTACCTTATTGTTCCAGGTACTGTCTCTCTTTGTTCCTTACTGATCTCTCTTTGAACTTCTGGTGGATGGTATAACTTTCTCCGGAACTCCGTTTCCGATATCGCCGCCGCCGGTGTTACTCATGTTTGGCTCCCACCGCCCTCCCAGTCAGTCAGTCGCGAGGGTACCCTCCAATTGAATTTCTTCATTGATCATATGTATTATTTATATGTTAATTGATGTGAATGATTCCATGAATGTTGCAGGCTTCGTGTTTGTTTGAATTGTGTGTGTTAGCAATCTTTTGATTTTATATGAATTTGTTCAGGATACTTGCCGGGAAGGCTATATGATCTCGATGCATCGAGGTATGGATCTCAGGCCGAATTGAAGTCATTGATCGATGCTTTTCATCAAAAGGGAGTCAAATGCGTTGCTGACATTGTGATAAATCATAGAACAGCCGAGAGGCAAGATAGCAGGGGTATATACTGCATTTTCGAAGATCATCTCAATCCGAGGGTACAAAATGAGTTATCGGATTGGTTGAATTGGTTAAAGACTGAGATCGGATTCGATGGATGGAGATTCGATTTCGTAAGAGGGTATGCCCCGAGCATATCCAAGCTCTACATGGACCGAACTTCACCGGATTTCGCTGTCGGGGAGAAATGGGAACAGTTAAATGAAGGACAAGAAGATGCACACCGTACTGACATAAAAGATTGGGTTGTAGCTGCCGGGGGCGTCGTGACGGCATTCGACTTCACTACGAAAGGGATTCTGAACGACGCGGTGCAAGGGAAGTTATGGCTATTGAAGGACTCGAATGGGAAACCGCCTGGACTGATAGGAATTCTACCTCAAAATGCTGTAACTTTCATTGACAACCATGACACTGGATCAACACAAAATCACTGGCCATTCCCATCTGATAAAATAATGCAGGGATATGCTTACATACTAACACATCCTGGCATCCCATGGGCGTCGTGACGGCATTCGACTTCACTACGAAAGGGATTCTGAACGACGCGGTGCAAGGGAAGTTATGGCTATTGAAGGACTCGAATGGGAAACCGCCTGGACTGATAGGAATTCTACCTCAAAATGCTGTAACTTTCATTGACAACCATGACACTGGATCAACACAAAATCACTGGCCATTCCCATCTGATAAAATAATGCAGGGATATGCTTACATACTAACACATCCTGGCATCCCATCCATAGTAAGTTTACACTTCCACTCTTCATTTTCTTTTAGTCTTCAACAACTTCCTTAATGAAAACCTCTGTATCTTGGCTCTACAGTTTTATGATCACTTATTCGAGTTCGGGTTGAAGGACGAGATTAATAGACTGGTGGTCATCAGGAATAAGAATGGAATTCAAAGCACAAGCACAGTTAATATTCTGGCAGCGGAATCTGAATTTTATGTGGCTTCCATCGATGATAAAATCATAATGAAGATTGGACCAAAGATGGATCTTGGAAACCTTGTTCCTTCCAATTACCAGCTTGCTACCTCTGGGAACAACTATGCAGTATGGGAGAAGAAGTGACCAAATTGAATAAATGATTAGAAACAAAGACGCAAATTGCCATTTCAGATTATGTTCTAAGGACTGGCCATTTGTTGTATCTTAAAACAACCAAGAAAAATTCTGCTTTTCAATATAAAGATAGAAATATAAAAATTTATGAATTATCGCCGCCTTTCCTTTACAAGAATAAAAATAATATTAAAAGGGTAATTCAGAGGGCTAGAGAGATTCCGGAGTATGAGCTTGGTTAATTCATTTGGTCTCGGTTTCTTTCACTCATTACTAAATTCACAGCTTCAAACTAAAACAGTGAAATCTTCTTTGCTTGTTTTCCGCCAATTACTACAATCGAATCTAAAGCCATCTGATTTCACTTTCGCTCTTCTCATCAAAGCCTTAGCCTCATCTTTCTCTGCTTCAAATTCATTAAAATCCAAGCTAGAAGCCAATCAAATACATATCCATCTACTTAAATCCGGTATTATTCAACTTACATACATTAGAACTGGTCTTCTGAACTTGTATGGTAACTTGGGTTGCATTCAAAATGCTCACCTTCTGCTCGAAGAAATGCCTGACAGGGATGTTGTTGCTTGGAACGCTTTGATTTCAGGGTACTCAAAAAATGGTTATGCTTTTTTGGCCTTTAATCTCTTCATTGAAATGGTTAGAGAAGGGTTTCGGCCTGAAGCTACGACGTTGGTTGGTTTGGTTCCGTCTAGTGGGAGGCTTGAGTCAGTGTTTCAAGGGAAATCTATTCACGGGTTTGGAGTTAAAGCCGGATTAGATAATGATCCCAAGGTGAAAAATGCGCTTACTTCGATGTATGCAAAATGTGGGGACTTGGAAGGGGCCGAAATTTTGTTTGGAGAAATGGTTGAAAGAAATGCAATTTCTTGGAACACTATGATTGGTGCTTATGGACAAAATGGTTCCTTTGATGAAGCCATGGCTTTTTTCAAGAAAATGAGAGCGCAAGCTGTGGAACCAAATTCTGTAACAGTTATGAGCCTTCTATCTGCTAATGCAGAACCTGAAACTATTCATTGTTTTGCTATTAAAACTGGTATTGTAAACAATGCTTCTGTAGTTACTTCTTTAGTTTGTGTATATGCCAAATGTGGGGATAGTGAGTCAGCTGAGTTGCTTCATAAGTCATTACCGCAAGAAAATTTGGTATCCTTGACTGCTCTTATTTCTAGCTATGGTGAGAAAGGGAATATGGATAAGGTGGTAGCATGCTTTGCTCGAAGTCGGGAACTCAATATGGAACTGGATGCAGTTGCAATGGTTAGCATTCTCCATGGGGTTAAAAATCCTGCTTACATTGCTATCGGACTTGCTTTTCATGGTTACGGAATAATGACGGGTCTATCCATGCATTTTTTGGTCTCAAATGGGCTAATAAGTATGTATTCCATGTTCGATGACATTGAAGCTGTATTCTCTTTGTTTTCTGAGATGCAAGAAAAACCATTAATCAGTTGGAATTCAATAATATCCGGCTGTGTGCAGGCTGGAAGATCTGGTGATGCCATGGAGTTATTTTTTCAAATGAAGTTGCAAGGACATGTACCAGATGCCATAACCATTGCTAGCATGCTATCCGGGTGTTCACAATTGGGTTATTTACGTTATGGTAAAAAGTTTCACAGTTTTATCCACAGGAATAACATAAAAATGGATGATTTTATTAGTACTGCCCTTATAGACATGTATGTGAAGTGTGGAAGCATTGAGCTAGCTGAAAGAGTCTTCTGGGGCATCAAAGAGCCATGTTTGGCAACATGGAATACAATGATTACAGGTTACAGTATATCCGGATTTGAAAAAAAAGCGCTTAATCATTACGCTGAGTTGCGAAAAAGAGGGTTAAAACCTGATAAAATCACATTCTTGGGTGTTTTAGCAGCTTGTATCCATGGTGGCAATGTCGATAAAGGAGGAAGATATTTTCAGATAATGACCGAAGAATTCGGTATATCACCAAGCCTTCAACATTGTGCAAGCATGGTTACACTCCTTAGCCGTGGTGGCTACTTTGAGGAAGCATTTTTATTCATCAGGGATATGGAATTCGATCCTGATTCCACGGTGTGGGGAGCTTTGCTCGATGGGTGTTGCATCCACCAAGAGGTCAAACTTGGGGAATATCTAGCCAAGAAATTGTATCTCTTGGATCACACAAATGGTGGCCTTTATTTGTCGATGTCAAATCTTTATGCTGCTAAAGGGATGTGGGATGATGTAGTTAGAGTGAGGCAAATTATGAAGGACACTGGGGGGGATAGCTCTTCAGGAGCTAGTCTGATTGAATTGACTTCATAATCTTGCCATGCCAGAAGACCAGGAATGGTACTAATAGCCTGTAAACCATAAAATTGTCAATTGAGTAACCCAAAACTCATCTCTCAAAACTCCTTTCTCTATTATCAAGATGTTGAAAATTAATGGTCAGGATGAAGAAGAAGATGAAGAGACTAACGAGCAAAATGAGGAAACTTGATGGGTTCTAAAGGTCGGTAACATAATTAAAATGAAACTTGGGGTAGAAATGCAGTTAAAAGATTTTGGAGATAACATGGTGTAATGGCCGTATCGTAATATTTTTCATTGTGATACCATAGATTGCATCCACAACATAAAAATAATTATCTTTAAGAAATAAATCATTTTGTATCATTAGCAACATTTGCGATTGTGATACCGCAGCTGCAACTATAATTTAATACAATGATGGGCTTTGCTAGCACGTTTAATGGTTTTTTAGTCCAATAGAGCAAATATTTTAATTAATTAGCCCAATGGGACATATTAGAGTTTATTTTGGGATCTATGGTATTTGTTACAGTGTTCTTATAATTCGTCACGTCAAGGTGACGAGTTCTAATATAAATTATTTTTAATAACGTATCAATATTTAATTATTTTGCTTAAAACTAGTCACTTCAAGATGATAAATTTTATTAAAATAATATATTTTATTAACTTCAACTGTTTTGTTTTTTTAATAGAACTCGTCATGTTAAGGTGATGAGTTCTATTAAAATAATATTTCTTTTAAAATTAGTAGTTGTTTATTGTCGTTGGCAAACCAACGACATGAATTTTTTGAATTAACGAACTCATCACCTCGATGTGATGAGTTACGATGGTTATTTTCACAAAATTTTCATTATAAATATAAGTTAGTGAATTGATAGAGTGTATATGAGATTGAAATCATGCAATTGTAGGAAGAATATTACCAAAAATTTCTGAATGGTATATTTGGGTCTGATTACTCAGACATCGATGATTCGGATTCGAGTTCGTTTTCATATGAGAATTGGGTAAAGGAGGCCATCAAGTAGATACTTGATCAACATAAGGAGAAAAGGAGACTTGAAGAAGCGAATAAGGAGATGAAAATCAATGAGGAGGGGAACAAAAAGAAAAAGTATGAAAAATTATTGATCTTACGTAGCAAACGACTTACAGATAATAATTAAAAAAAAGAAAAATAGTTGTGTAGAAATTGAGAAGAAAAATGAGACAAAAAGTTGTTTTGTATGTTGATTTTTATGTTGAGGAAATGTTTTAAATATATGTATGGATTTATATTTAGTTAAAAGTAATTTGAGTAGTTTGTAATTATGTATGAAAAATTAAAAATTTAGATGAATAATGTTGTTCATAAATGATCCAACGATTGATACAACAAAATAACATTAATTACAAACGTTTTATCGGCTCGCTCGATATTTAGGAAGATGTAGACAATGCTTCTTGTTGTGGCATTCACCTCTGTGGTGGCCACAAAACTTTGATAGACATTGCTCTTGTTAAATATCATTCATATCAATATGAATTCGACTAGATTTAGGTCGACTCTTCAACTTCCTTCATAATTGTGGATTTGACAATTGCTCTTCAGAAATTGTTGGTGGTCAATAAGCAACGTTTGGGACATACTTAGACTCACAGTTGTATATGTTGTGCTGCAGACTATAATAATTCTTGGCTTGATGTTGATGAGAACAGGTTTGCTGAAACTAAAAGATACATGGATTTCATCAGTCCTGGTTCTCAAGCCAAAGAAGGATCTTTCTTTGGACTGGAATCTGCACTAGCAGGTTTAGAACCCGGGTATATTTCCTAAACGCTCTCCAGATACGAACGCATGTTCGATGCAAATATATTTTCATTCGAAAAATGAAAACCGAACCTAGAATTTTGTTTCCATGGTTACCAGATACCCTGGAGGTCCCTTGTTGAACCCTCTTGGTCTGGCCAAAGATATTAAAAACGCTCATGACTGGAAGCTGAAAGAGATAAAAAATGGTCTGGTTTGCCTGATTCATCCCTCAATCACCATGTTTTTTTTCTTCTTTGCATGAAATTAAGCCAGGGTTTTCGAATGCAGGACGGCTAGCGATGGTAGCAATGCTCGGGATCTTTGTGCAAGCTTACATGACACATGCAGGTCCAATTGATAACCTTGTGGAGCACCTGGCATAAGACCATCATTCAAACCCTTTCTAGCTCCTCTTCTTGATTGTTAAATCATTTTGCTATTGGCTCTTATGGTTCATCTGATTTCTTCTGATTATCGGCAATTGTGTACATTATTTCGTGATATTGCATAAAAAAAGTTCTTTTCATTTAGCATAAGTATCATTTTATACAAGAATTGACAATCCAAGTATATCAAAGTCTATACAGAACTTGGATCATCTTTTATTTCTTTATATTCCAGCCATACAGACCAAATATGTATTCACAACTTTATCATTCATCCTATAGTCAATAAAATGTACACTCGGAGAAAATCCGGCAAACCTTCATCGAATATAGAGGGCCACCGTGACAATCACGAAAAAAGAATCGAGGTGAAATCACAATGGCAAAGATAATGCATCATTAGAGCTTTTCAGAAACAGACTTACTGGGTTCTGAACTTGGACTTGGTTTTTAATAAGCTCTTTTTCTTGTTAAAAAACATGGCTAACTTGGGGAATAGTTTTCTTCTTTTTTTCGACCGCTGTTTCTGGGGATGATTCGGACTTGGTGCCACTGAAATTGACTGCCTTTGAGCTATCTAGAGTGCTGCAAGGAGAAATATTTGATCCAGGTTCTTCCTTTGATTTGTTCCATCAAAACTTGCCCATCGAGGTTCTACACTGCGGCAGGATTTAGAAGTCTTTCTCTGCTGCTCATGTTCAGACCTCCATCGTCTCAATTCCTGCTCTACACCTAATTTCTCTTCCGCGGCCTTCTCAGCCTTCACCGAAGCAATTTTTAGTTGTTCCTTTCTTTCAGCCATCTCTCTCTTTACTTGTTCCAACTTTTCCAAGCTACTCGACTGGGATTGCTTAGCTGCCTCTACTTGAGAAGCGAAAGCTGACACCCTCATGTTGGCCTGTTCCTCCGCCTCATATGCACGTTTTCTGAGGTCATTGTACTCCTCTAAGGAAATAACTACTGCATCTGGTGAATCAACATTATCGGTTCTTTGAGCTGATGCATGATCTTGCAATTTTTTTATAGCATCTAACGCAAACTTCCTTTACTTTGCACAGCTCTTCACGAGCCATTTGAGCAAGTGTTGTGGCGTCAAGAGCCTCTTGTGTTGCCTGCTGCAGTTGCTTGGGCACTTCCACCATTTTATCTCTGGCCTTTTTTTCATTCATCTGCACTGAAGCTATTTTTGACTCGGTGTTATCTGGATCATCTTTCAGAGAAGCAACATCAACTGACATGCCTTCTGTTTGCTTAATGGTGGCAATAGCAGACTCTTCCTTTTCAAGCTCCGATTTTAATGAAGCAGCAAGCACCTTCAAAGAATCCACTTCTGCAGTTGCGTTTAATATTTTGAGCTTCACCTCTTCAAGTTCCTTCTTTGCTAAGGTAACAGCAGCTGGTATCTCAGTGCGAGTTCTTTTCTCTGGTGTCTGTGACTCATCAGTGGAGTGTCCATTATTTTCCAAATTGAACTTAGATTCCCTATAAACAGTTAAGTCAACTTTCAAATCACGTAGCAGTACTGAAGCAGTGTCTAGCTTTGGTTTCAGATCCTTTTTCGATTGGATTTGCTGATTGAGTTTCTGGGTGTCCTTTTCGGCCTGTTTTAGTTCCTTCTCCCATAAGCGAGCATCTTGGTCTCGGGCCATGGCTGCTCCATTCCTTTTCTCTTCAGCCCCCATATGGACAGAATGGGCGGACTCTAAGTACTCCTTTTAGGCCATCAGCTCAAAAGTCAATTCTTCCACTCTCTTCTCGGCCTCTTTCGAAGAAGAAACAGCCTCTTCAGCTTTCTTAACAGCTGTATCTCGCTCAATCACCATAGAAGCATACGTCTTTCTTAATGATTCCCGAAGATACTAATTTTTTATCCATATTATTATTATTATTATTATTATTATTATTATATTATTATTATTATTATTATTATTATTATTATTATTATTATTATTATTATTATCATTATTATTATTATTATTAAATACATATTAAATAAATATATAAATAAATAATTACAGACCAATTACAATGGACTGGCCCAGTTACAAACAAACCAGAACCGGTCCAAATCAAACCAGAAACCCTAAACATTTGGGGTTTCCAGTTAGGGTTTCCTAACCCTAATCTAGCCGGCCGCCTCATCACAGCCGTTGGATCTGGCACGATCCAACGGTCCAGATTGCCCTAGATGGAAACCCTAGGGTCTGATACCCTAGGGACACGCGGCCGCCGCTGCTATCTCGCCGCCTCCGCCGCTGCTGCTATCTCGCCGCCTCCGCCGCTGCCACGTCCCAACCGAACGCTCCAGAAGCTCCAACGCCAGCCGTCCACGACACGGCTACGGGGTGAGTCACCACTGGTAGTCCGGTGACTCACCGAGACCCCCTCTTCGGACCGGTCCGACGGCTACAACGGTGGTGGCTATAAAAGCCACCACCCGAACCTGAAAGAAAAAAAAAACCACGGGACAGAGAGACAGAAAAAGAGAGATACAGAACCGGAGAAAAAAAAATAGAGAAAGAAAAAAAAACAACTACTAACCAACGATCTCAGTCAAATATCCCACAACCAGAACAAAAAAAAAAGAAGGAAAAAGGAAGAAGGAAAGACTTACCGAGGAAGCCAAACGCCGGATCTCACCAAAACCTTCGAAAAACCGAAGGTATTCTTTTTAGATTTGCTCCGATTGGGAGCCGTTTAACGGAAAAGAGCATCGGAATCGTCATTAGGACGGTCCGATCTACGTTTATATATAAAAAAAAAAAATTTCCGGCCACCGAAGACGGTGGCCGGCGGCGGTGGTTGACGGCGGAAGAACGCCGACTAACGACTGCCGGCCGGCTGGGCTTCTCTCTGTTTTAGAGAGAAGCGAGAGAAACTTCTCTCTCTCAGAGAAGAGAGAGAGAAGGAAAATGATGAAATGAAGCTGGCCCTTCGGGCCAGCCGGTTTTGGACTTTTATAGTCCTTCCCGAACGACGTCGTTTCGGGAAGGACTATGCGCGTAATTAAACAATAGTTAAACTCCGTCCGCAGTCCTCCGAACTTGTAAACTTTACATTTTAGTCACTAAATTGAATTTATAATATTTTTAATTCAGTCTTCGAATTTTAATTTTATTTATTTTAGTCCTTTTTATTAAAATAATATATTTAGGATAAATAACAGATTTAATCCCTCAATTTTAATAAATAATATTTTAATCCTTAGTTTATATTTTTAATTTATTTTATTATAATATCCGAATTTTAGATAATTTTATTTTAGTCACTAAATTATTAAATAAGAAAATAGCATGTTTAATCCCTATAATTTTGGTTAATTATGAATTAGATTTTTAATTTTATTTTTACTGTAATTTAGTCAGTTATTTTATATGTTTTCATTTATTTATTGTTTTTAAATATATTGTTTTAGTAGTATGTTTATTATATGAATAAATTTTTATATATTCATATATATATAATAAATAGTAATTTTTAAATATTTATTTTAATATCGAAGAAAATGACAGTCTTAAAACAACTGGACGTCCTATTCTGATGTTTTAAAATTAAAAATTAAACAATATTATTTAAAATTTATCAATATCAAAGAAAAGAGCTGTCTTAAGGCACCTAGAAGTTCTTTTCTGATATTTTTAAATAAATAAATATTTTTTATATAATTTTGAAATAATAAGATTATAAATTAAATATATTTTTGAATTTTTAAATTTTAATAATAAGAGACAATTTATAATTAAAAAGTACCAATTTTGGGCGTTGTAGGGGTGCTAATCCTTCCCTAAACGTAACCGACCACGAATCCCTTTTTATTAAAAAGAACGAATTTTTGGTTATAAAACGCAGATCAGTTCATTTTTTATTAGTGTTTTCTTAAAACTCTTTTAAAAATAATTTTTAGGTATTCGACCTACCTGACCCAAAAGGCCGATGGCGACTCCCAAATTATTTATTTTCAAAATTATTTATTCACATCAATTTTCCCGCCAAATTTAATATTTCGTGCCCGGACGAAAACCGGTTACGACAGCTTGGCGACTCTGCTGGGGACTGGTCAAACTTTAAAATCAATTATAAATTGTCTCTATTAATTAAAAGTTAAGATATTTAATTTTTAATTCTTTCTTTTCAAAATTTTTATATTTACTTATTATTTTCATAATATTTATATGTTTTATTTTATTTGTAAGTATTTTATTTCATTATTTATTTTGTCAAAGGTATGAACATTTCTCCTCACACACAACACTTGCATTGCATAACATAAAACTCTATAATTGAGTTGTCCCTTTTAAGTGGGAGTGAAAGCGACGTCTTCGTGAGAATTTATTCTCCGTGTCAGACCTAGCAAGTAACTTTCGGGGTTCATATGCTCTATGTCTTCGTGAGAATTTATTCTCCGTGTCAGATATAGAGAAATGTATCCCCTCGAATTGAACTCGATCCACTTTAGTCTGTGATGGACTAGGATTGAGGGTTAGCAACCCAAGGAGGCACTAACAAGGACAATTCGGGTACCTTGATTCTTAGATCTGAAACCTTGCATATAAAGAACCTTAGAAACTCTTCCGATCAGAAGTCATGCCGAAATTTTGTCCAAAATAGGTGTACACACAGGAGAAATAAATTCTGACTTTCTTGTTAATTTATATGTTTATTTAAATTATTTAAATTTAGAAAAGCATGTTTAAATAAAGAATATTTATGTAAATGTTATTATTAAATTTCTTTATTATGTAAACTAATTTATTTTCTTTTTGTGTGTTCTTTATTTTTCTGTTTGCATTGCATCATACAGGATAAAAGACATTGATCCTTGTGTTAATTGTCTCATTGGAAAGCCTTCATCTATGGATAAAAAGTGTTCAAATCAAGTAATTCTAAACTCAGAGGTAAGACAGTGGGCTGAGGACTTACAAAGACGAGAAGGAGACAGCCTACAGGATGATTATGTATCTGACTTGGCCAGCTATGCTCCAGTTTCACTAAAAAGAAATGATACGCAAGATTTGCGAAGCATTTGGGAAAGTTGGGATTCAAACAAAAAATTGCAGTTTTATCAGATTTATGGAGACATCCCATATTTGCTCTATGTTGAAGTTAATGATGAATTACTCAGAGCCCTAATTCAATTCTGGAATCCAGGGTACAATTGCTTCACTCTCAATAAAGAAGATTTGGTCCCTACTATTGAAGAATACACAACTTTGCTACATATAGATGGGGCTTTGGACAATCGAATCTATTCAAAGTCAATTAAAACTCAACCCTTTCGAGTTAAATTAGCAAAGATTGCTGGGGTACGAGAAGAATGGGTGGTATCCCGTACAAAACAAAAATGCGAAAGTGAAGGCATTGCTTGGACCAACATTAGAGAACTTATTCAGAGCCATCCAGATATTAAAGTACGATTCGATTTATTTGCTCTGGGTATATATGGTATGGTCATCTTCCCAAAAGTATTGGGATATGTTGAAGTTGCAGTGGTAGATTTGTTTGAACAGCTACCGAAAAAGATTAATCCTGCTTCTGCAATCCTAGCAGAGACCTTCAGATCGTTAAATGCTTGTAGAAGGTTAGGAGGTGGACGATTCTCAGGGTGTACCCAGTTGTTATATGTTTGGATCCGTAGTCATTTCTGGAGGACAGAAAAGGTTTCATACCGACGCTTTAATACGGATTACTCACCATTAAAAGAATTTCTGGAGCAGGAATGGCCTAAAGAAATTAAGAAAGATATGTGGATTAATGCCTTTCGAAATCTGCAAAACAATGATGTTGTTTGGCGAGCCCCGTGGCAAATACAAAGGGAATTCTTTTACAGGTGTGGTGATTACAACTGGATAATGCTGCTCGGATTATGGGGAGGAATTGGATATGCACCACTTCTGGTTATAAGACAGTATGAAGGTCGTCAATTTGTACCTGTCACTGCTGGATTACAGTCATCTGAGTTCGCATTCCACAGCAAAAATTATAAAAGAAATATCATGGAAGCCGTTACAGCTTGGAAAACAACTTTTTGTATCCGAGCTAAGGCAGCAAAAGAAATGTTAACTCCTGATTATGAAGATTGGAGATCTGTCAGAAAAAACGAAAATATTCCTCTACCAGATCAAAATGAGGATATTTCTATGGAAGATCGCATTAAGGTGGTTCCATCAGAGATTGAAATCTTGAGAGCTGAGTTTGAAGCAGAAAGAGAAGGCTGGTCGAAAGAGTTAGAGCAAATGAGACAAGATAAAGCTATGTTGGGGGTTGACATTGACTTTCATTCATCACAATGTGCAATGTTGAGAAAAGATAAAGAAAAAGGTGAGGATGAGTACAGAGCCTTACAGAAAAATTACCAGGAGTTATATAAATCCCGAAAAGCATCAGGACCCAGCCAATCGACGGTACAGATGACCAGAGAATTGAATATCGAGAAAAGACGAGTTGAAGATCTGAAAGGAAAGAATAGCCGTCTACTCAAAAGCCTTGAGAAAGGAAAGCAAAAAATGGAAGATTTTGAGGTCGACAGAAGAGAGCGAATTATAAACACAAGGCTGAGCATCGCGAGATCATGAATGAAATGCAAAGAGAAAGAGATCGAGTCAAAGATGTAGAAGAAATGAAGAATGACATCTTTAATAAATTTGAAGGTGAGAAAAATATCATGTTCAAGGGATTTGAATCT